GTTAAACAGTTCTTATTTATTTTCTCCCAAATTATTAGAAGTGTAAAAGACATTGAGAAATTAGAAGGTTCTTTTGATTTCAGGTCCACTAAAAAATTTGTCTTAGCAAATAAGACATAGACCTACTCAGAGACCTGGCATATTCACCTGGGCTAGAAAGATCTTTTTCACTTTTACATATTGGGGCATCACTGAGTCTTACTTGAGGCAAATTTGTGGTTTTGTCATGCAAAATCAAACCCTTAAGGGGTTCTCATAGGATAAAAATAACACAATGTTGAGAATGATCTACACAGCAGACTGGATATATGTAATGGTGCTTCAACAAGAAATTTTATGGAGAATTTTCAACTTTTACCCTGGTTTATATTCACAACAGCCAGGATTTGAGGTAAACATGGAATCCACAATAGTAAGAGATGCATATGGAACCCACAAGTTCAAAATTCTTTGGCATTCTGTTTTTCTCAGAGTACAGGCTCCATCTAAACTATTCGGCGTAAGCTTTGGCCTAGTCCCATCATACATTCTTTCACTAGAGAGCTGATGGCTCTCAGAATTTTATGTCTTTATTAAATTAATGAAGATCCAAAATTGTCAGAAGATTGATTACAAGTTGTGCTGTTCCCATTAAGAATTGTCCTTTTTACTGTAGTAAAGAGATATCTGACTTCCAAATATAGGTTAACTGGCCAAAGAAAAACATGTAATTCAAGATGTATATAATGAAACCTCCTCTTGATTTCTACAGTTTGGTGAGACTGCGATAGTCTTACCAAAGGAAACTGAGAAATACGGCATATGACGGAAGTATTCCCTCAGTGTCTTGACCCATCCCCTCCTTTGTACATCTGAAGAATATGGTTAACATTGTGTTGTTGTTTGTTTCATTTTGTTTTAAGGCTTTAAGGGCTTTCCTAGTTAACTTAAAAATCTGTAGAAAACTTTGGGGAAATTGCATTTTTATAGATTACTTATGCCTCTTCATCATATTGTCAGCTTTATTTCCCCCTTAATATCTGTTCAATTGCACTGCCTTCTATTGGATAGCAAACCACCATTTCCTTGTCACTACCTCTCTCAAATTACTAGAGATAACTCTAAATCCTTTCTTTCCAGGGATTTAGCTCTAGAAGACAGTAGCAGAGACAGAACTAAACTTGGAGCATCCTGAGTCTCAGTTCTTAAAACTGGTTACACTGACAGTGCCTGACAAAACATCCCTGTCAGTCCTCTGTATCTAGATCTAGGCTTCATTTCTCCAAAACGATGAGAGCAAGCCTGGTTTGGGGGCACAAGCCTGTAATCCCAACAACTGGGAAGCAGAGGCAGGAGGATTAAAAATTTAAGGTCAGCCTCAGCAATTTAGCAAGGCTCTAAGCAATTTATCAAGACCCTGTCTCAAAATAAATAATACAAAGAGCTGGGGATGTGGCTCAGTGGTTAAGCACCCTTGCATAAATTGATAAGAACCAACTTGTTTCTTCACATGAATTAACCTTTCCAACTGGATATCAGGTTTTTATTTCCATAGGCCAACTATTGCTTTTGAAACGAAGTTCTTCAAATCATAGTCTACTTATTATGTTTACTAGTGTTTTGCTTTTTCTGGTGTAGAAATTCCAGGAAGTGAAAGGAATCTTAAAAACAGAGGGGGAGTGATTTACCTCTGCACTTCTATCTCTGGCCTTTCTATCCCTGACCTTTCTATCTCTGATATTTAAGACAGGATCCTTCCTTTCCCATATCTGTTATAGGCCAACTCTCTGATAATCACAGTGATCAGGCGGCACTTACTGAATTTGCATTTTTACATTATAAATATGAATCAGACTTCCTTTACATACCATTCATTAAATATTCAGTTTAGTTTCCCCAGTTTGCTGAAAATGAATGCCTGGTTCAGTCTTTCTTTGTGCCATGTCTTCGCTCACATTAGTCATTCCTCTGATCTGTTTAAAGAGAAACTGCAACCTGTTGAGAATAGCCTGAAGCAGCAGGGGGAGAAAACTTTTAACAGCTGTCTGGTGCCTTGCCAAGGGGCAAAGTTCTCTCATTGGATAAAAACCATTTTTCTTCTCTTATCCATTGCTTCCCACTCCACTCCTAAAGGCCCTATACAAACACAAGGATTTGCCAAGCATAACAGGATCACACCTAGCCAGCTGTGGCAGCCAGCCATGGAGATAGGCGCTGAACCAGGCTCATTGCTGTTGTGTTTACCCTTTCATCTCAGGTTTTTCTAGGCAGGTTCTTTTTTTCTCAGATCTTGTGATGGTATTAATGTTTCCAGCAAGATACTGGCATTTTTTTTTTTTTTTTACATTTAGCTAATCTTCTCCTTTCTTTTTAAATTTTTTTCTCTCCCCTCAAATTTTAAGTTGTCTTACAGTTTTTCAAAATAGTAGAGACACAGATAAATTACCTGAGTTATTTCTTCTACACACAAGATCTAAAGTGATGGAAATTAGGTAAAGTTAGAAAACTGTGAGCAGACATGAAAAAGACCCTGTATGGGATATTCAGCTAGACTATGTGAATAGCCAGGGATTAAAAGGACAGACACAGAGAAAAACTTATGAGATTTTCAATACCCAGATGTATAGCTGCAATAGGAAAATTTTCTAGGAATTTTTAAAGGAAGATAAATAACTGAATATGGCATCTGCATTACATGGAATGTTTCCCTATACTTCATGTTTTTCCTTTATGGAATTTTCATTTCTACTTTATTCTTACCTAAATACATTGCTTGGCATCTCGTTATTTTAAATCTGTGCACTGCACAGCTATATGATATCAAAGCAAAAATTCCACTGGATTGAATGTACTAAAATAACAATGTTTGGTTCATACTGTACTATCTTGAACCTCAGGGAGTAACTCTCTCAAATCACTTTCATTTGTGCAAGCAGAGTGATGCGGACCTGAGAGATCACACATAGCAACGGAGAGGAGAGGATAAGGATCTCATCCAAACACTGGCAGCAGGCCATGAGCAAAAACTGCCCCAAGAAAATGATATTTCCAAAGATCATTTTATGATAGTGGATAAAAACCAGGTTTTCTTTCCTTTTTTTTAACCCTTATATTTTATTACACATTTATTATATTTTGTCAGAGGCAAGGACTGAGGAAAATTGTCATACTTCTTTCTTAACTAAAGGTTTCCATCTTCATTCATCTGTACTTTCTTACCTTAAATTCTAATTATTTAAAATGTGATATCAAAAATTGTGGCTTGTATGTCATGATATTATTTCTTTTCAAATTTTGACTACTGAGTAACCATAGCTACAAAGTCAAAAGAGATTTTTTTGCTCTTAAGTTGGAAGGTTCTTTCAAAAATGTAATATAAGCAAAATCTTGCTTTTGCTTTGATTTTAATGATAACCAATCAAATTGAACCACAGGCATTATAAGCTGTAAGTCTACTGTGAGTGGCCTTTGACTAAGCCTCAAACATGCAGCCTGTAATTGGCCAAGAGCTTTGTATTATTTGAGCTTCATATCCACTCTGATTCTCTGCTTAATCTATTTAATACACGGTTCCTTCCATTATCAAGTTGACAGATTCCACTTGGCTGAAGGCTAAGTTTCAGAAAAAAATGACCAAACACACAGACTTTCATTTTTAGACCAACATCCAGTTAAGGATATCTAAATAAGTACCAAATGGCTAATGAACTAGGACATTTCTAATCCTTTTGTTACAGACCTGGGACAAATAAAGAGATGTCAATAAAGGATTAGTTTCTTTAGACATTCAAGATTTGGTGAACCATAGATATTCTTAAATTAATTGAAGAAAATCATTAACACTTATTTTAGTACAACTTAGATATATCTTATAATTTAAAAAGAGACATTATGGTTTCATGCATATGAAGTTTGGGGTCAGGGTCATAAATTATGAAATCTTCAGGATCTACAGCTCCTTAAGAATGAACTTTAGACAAGTGGCATGTTTTTGGAGCCCTGATGGGATTATAGTGAGTGCCTAGTAGAAATGGCTGAGATCAATGTTTCAACTCAAAAAGAAAACTAAAAAAGAAAAGGAAAAATTTTCATATAAATTTTCTCTAATGTTTCTCATTTCTTCTATTTACCTGTATCAATTAACTATAATTTCCCTTCCAAAAAATTTGTTAGTTCATTAATAATTCAAATGATTAACACTATTATTCTATAAGATAACTTACTAAATTATAATATTTTGAAATATACATTAGATTTAGGATATAAGTTAGGATACATTTTCTGAAAAACAGTCAAATTGTAAATTGATATCCTTATTTTTGGATAAAGGTACATGAAATTCATTAAATTTGTACCAAGCTGGACTTTTAAATTTTTACCACCAGGGGGCAGATTACGCTAGCTATTTATTTAGTAGATTCTCAAAGTGACACAAGGGGCAATTTTAGAAGGGGAAAATTCTCCAAGGATTTCTTCACAGATTCTTTAGTGGAAGAACTGTTGAATTTCCCAATATAACTTTCACACCAGTTATAATAAAGCTAGATAATTATTATTCCAAATTATTAAACTGCTTTCTAAAGTATTTTTGTGACCTGTTGATTTGTTCCTTTTGTTGTTAATAGACATGGTTTCAATTGAACTAAAATCTTAACTTTATTCAAGGGACACTGAATATTATGATTTTCCATATATTCACATGTTTAACAGTTTAACATTTATTTCAACCTAAATTCCAAGTATCTTCATTAGAAACAATATTCTTTATAAGAATCAATAGTGTGTATAAAGAGTTCACTATGGAAAAATTTAGAAAATATAGATATAATTTAGAATATTTTTGAAGTGTAAAATGGGATTTAAATATATTAGGTGTCCACTACACTTATTTACAGGTGTATTTGGATATGATTCCATATCATTCCTTCAATATTATCCATGATATATCTTAAAAGCTTCATTAGAATCAAGTGTAAATTTCTTAGGTACATAAATGGTGTCTCATTTACATTTCTTTTTAGTGCCCAAGCAAAACCTATGACCCACTGGTTAAATCCACCCGAGATTTCCCAGATGATGTCATCAGTTTCATAAAGCGGCACCCTGTGATGTACAAGGCAGTATACCCTGTTGCAGGAGGACCAACCTTCAAGCGAATCAATGTGGATTACAGACTGACTCAGATAGTGGTGGATCATGTCATTGCAGAAGACGGCCAATATGATGTAATGTTTCTTGGAACAGGTGAGTTCAAACTAGACTAAGCTTTCTTTCAAAGGAATTTTTCATTGTCTGATAAAGAAAGCAAAATCTTCAAAATTATTTATTGGTCAAAATAAAAATGAATAATTATTAGACCATACCTTGTCAGTGTTTCTTAAAATTATTTAACACATGCTTTTAATTGATACTATAAACATCTGCTGTACTATGCAAGATTAAAAAATATATTTGTATCTTGTGGTTGCAATGGGCCTAATATAGATTAGGTGCTCAAGACATATTTGTTGAATGACCATGGACTAAAATTAAATTAATAGAGCAAAGCAATTTATTTTCCAACTTTACCTTTCCCTCTCTCACCAGGGTATCTGATAAGCTCTACCCCAAGGACTCTCAGTTTGAGAACTACTGGCTTAGTTGACTTAATATGGCTTTTCAAAAACATTAATCATTATTTTGTAAAGACTTTAAGCAGAAATTTCTTAGAGATTATTTTTTCTGTTCTTGAATTTTGTAGATTAAAATAAATTTTGTGGACTCTCATTCTTGAAGATCATCTTATTTATTTATTTTGCTAACTCAGTAATTACAAAATGAGTTAAATGTATTGTTTGCAGGAGACACTACATTTTTGATGAGTCTCCAAAATAGGAAAAAATATTATCTAATAATACTTTTTTTATTGTGAATTCTAATGGCAGTAATGATAGTATGTATCATTAAAGTAAAAATGTTGCATTTTAGTCACTAGGTTATCTAATATATTGAGCATTTCATAAATAAATAGAGATTAATAGGTTTTTTGACAAACAGACATTTTTATTGGAATAGTTTTTTTTTTTTTTTAAGTGTGTAAAACAATTTTAGAATTATTTGGTTTTTAAAACCAAATTGGTTTTGTAGAAGCTAGGTTTCTTAGGAAGCATTTGAGTGATAAATTATTAAAGTGCTTTCTAAGGTATTTTTGTGACCTGTTGATTTGTTCCTTTTTGTTTTTAATAAACATGGTTTCAATTGAACTGAAATCTTAACTTCAAGCACAATTGTCAAACATGATCATGTTACAGATGGCAATTTTAAGATCCATATAAATAAGGAGTGTTCTCAAGACTGCATAGATGGCTGTTTAAGGGGTCAGAATTTGAAATAATGAGTCTGTTATTACTTCTCATGAGTCTGACATTTAATTTGCTCTGTTCATCTAAAGCTCATTCCTAGCTTTTTAACAGTTCAATGTGATAAACGTCATTCAGCCACTAGGTGGTACTACCTAACTTTAACTAAAATTATGGCAATGTTAAAATAGTCAATTTGACACTTAAAGTGTATAGTTAATATATTTCAAAGATTGCATAGTCATTGACAAACAATATGAAATATCACAGGCTATTTGTGCATATAGTAACATTATTACATATGCCCTTATTCTTCAATGCCTGCGCTCAGTTTAATGACATTTGTTTTATATAAATTAATTAAAGTGGTATTTTTTTCCTTTTTCTAAAGTAGTCTTTTGAATATCTCTCTGAACTAGCATACCACCACATAGAACTGCAATATAAGATGATGTACTTAAGATATGTTTTCTAAACATCAGATTTTGTTTTACATTGTTAGTTTTGTATTGTCTTTTAAGTTGAATTAAAATAATTTAAAATAAAACTTTAATTTTTGCCATATTAACAATGGTTATAAAGGTAGAATATATTTGAAGAGATGTAGTTTCCCTCATGTAGACTGGATATAATAGGTATTCAATAAATATTTACTGCATAGAGATCACTATGTAGAAGTAAAACTAGTTTTTTTAATGTACTTTAGAATCTTAAATTAAGATCTAAAATATGTGATTCATCTCTGTTATCATTTTAAGCAATACTTAAATTAGGCACATATATTTCTTTTGTTAAGAATATGCACTAAAATGTCAGGTGTGGTGGCTCATGCCTGTAATACCAATGATTCTGGAGGCTGGGATTATTTGTATATTATTTGTAATTATTTTATATAGCTCATTTAAAAAAGTTATGAAACAAACTTTCTTGCATAACATTTTTATTTTATGAATTTTCTTAAATCTTTGACATCTGCTATTATTTGTCAATTAGTAAATACAGACAGGTAATAAATGAATATAGATATTAGATAAACTATTTTTGATGCTTTTTTTCATTTGATAGATTTTATGTTCAAGGAGCGTCACAAATTCAAAGCCAACCTCAGCAATTTAGGGAGGCCCTAAACAACTTAGCAGGATCCCATCTCAAAATAAAAAAAGGGCTGGTGATGTGGCTCAGTTCAATCCATAATACCAAAAAAAAAAAAAAAGAAAGAAAGAAAAATAAACAATATGCACTGATATATATATATATATATATATATATATATATATATATAAATAATCTGTTTATAAAATTTTGTTCTTTTAGCTAAAAGCTATCATGTTTCTTAAGGGCAAAACAATATACATTAGCCTTCATGTTTAATCTGATTTCTTGAAAAACATTTAAAGAAAAGTGAGACAAGCAATTTGATGGTTTCTAGGAATATACTTAATATTGAAATAGAAATGGCAGGATTATAAATTATATATTTTTTCAGACATTGGAACTGTCCTAAAAGTTGTCAGCATTTCAAAGGAGAAGTGGAATATGGAAGAGGTGGTACTGGAGGAGTTGCAGATATTTAAGGTAAGGCTTAGTCCAGAGTTGCAGGGGGAAGAGAGGGTGAAACTGCATACTCCTTGCTATAGGGCACTCTTTAATACATCATCACTTTTGCTGGAAAGTCTTTGAAATCAGTTTCCTTCTTTTTCTTTTCCCTAAGCATTGAAAAGAGTTTTATAAGCAACTAAGAATGGGCCTTACCTTCCTCTGTAGAATACCACTGATTGAGAGCTCCTGGGATTGCCTCTCATTACTGCATTCTCTAAGCATATAGTCAGACAAATTGCCACATTAAATGAAAGCCTGGGGTCTCTTTTACTATCCAGATGCTTTTCTACTTTATAAATTTCACGTTGCAATTTTTCCCCAATTGAATTTGAGAAAACTGGAAGAGAATATAAATCATATATCCCTGCTTTTCTGTAAGGAAAATTTTAAAAATATGTTACATGATAGTAAGTCTTCCTGTATGCCAAAGTCCTGACCCTCTCCCCAACCCTCATAATTAGTAGATCTAGAAGAATTCTCCAGATTATGTGAATGTCTTTGACTTTTAACAATGAAATTGAATTGTGATATTCTTTGTAGAGCCTCAATGAAGTTTAATTTAAAAGTATTTCCTGAAAATACCATTAGAAATGAAATTGTATTTCTTGGAAATGCTTTTTTTAAATATTCTGGATTTTTAATAACATTTTTGTTCAAAAAAACTTCCTTAAAAACTGTTTCCCTGTAAACATCTATGACTTTAAAGGAGAGAAGAGCCCTCCACTGTGAGGGGCTCAAGTTAATTAACATGCTGGGTTCCACAGATCCTGTTTACATTGTGATGATAATAGTGGTCAAGAAGTTAACAAGAACAAGACCTGCTATCTGGCCTCTACCAAAACAAAATCTTGGGTGGTTCCTAAGGGAAAGGCTGATGTCAAATATAAGGGTGAACCCAGAGGCCTAAATAAAGTCCCTACAATACACAAGCATATCAGAACACATTTATTCACAGAAAACAGTGGCTGTAAGACACTAGTCAAGAGGAATTCTTTGGCTTCACTGTGAAGTTAAACAATGCCATGGTTTGTTCTCTCTCTCTCTGTTTTCTTTTATTCCCCCTCTTTTTATTTTTTTTTTTCCCCATGGCCCAACAAGAATTTATTTGTATGATAATAAAGTGGATCCCTGTTAAATAATTCCCCCTTTTCCTTTCAAAGGATAGTGAGCCTTTGATTCTAGGATCCTCTATCCCTGGTAGATTCTGAACTCTGCACATTCTTGTGGAGGGTGCAGGGGAGAATAGAGAATCAAGAGTTGTCCCATCCACTCACATCCCTTTGACCCTGTGTATGCCCATTCCCCCTCTTTTTAAAAAAGCATGTTTATTGAGGTATAATTTATGTTAAAAATATATATAATTAATACACATTATTTAATGACTTTGGCCACGTTGTATAAATCATTAAAAAAAAGTTATGAAACAAACTTTCTTGCTTAACATTTTTATTTTATGAATTTTCTTAAATCTTTGACATCTGCTACTATTTGTCAACTAGTAAATACAGACAGGTAATAAATGAAAATAAATAGAATATAGATAATAGGTAAACTATTTTTAATCCTTTTTTCATTTGATAGCTTTTATGTTCAAGTTTCTGATTCTACTTTGCATGCATACAACCGTATTCTCTACATATAAAACAGGCTCTAGTTCATATCATGAAATTGTGTGCATTGACATCTTGTAGTGTTACATAAAGAATATGGCCATCTACAAGGAGTACTATAGCTTTTCAGAACTCTGCTACTTGAACAAGTGTTTGAATGACTGATCTAAGTAAGAGCAGAAAGAGGTAATAAATAATTATGGAGATGTTCTTGTCAACACTAGTTTGAATTATATGGAAACAGTTAAGATAAGCAGATTTAAAAGAAGTAGAAAACTTGTGAGTAACTGGGAACAATTTTCAGTACAGAAGGCTTCTTCATAAATTTAGTTTGTTTTTCTTTAAGAAGATACTTTAAAATAATTAGTTTCCTCATTTCTGTTAAGGTAGATTCACTACACATTGGAAAAAGATAGCAAACAGAATCCAGACTTTGACTTCAGTAAATACATATATATATATATATATATATATATATATATATATATATATATAATAAAACAACATATTGACTAATATAAAATCATATTATGGTTATGTTTATTGATGTTTACTTTCTATTTTCAGCACCCATCAATCATCTTGAGCATGGAGTTATCTTTAAAGCAGGTACTTTCTCTTTTTGGTGTAAAAAATATTTTAAAAAGTAATAAGTTGTGTGAATGAATGTTGATTTGAAGAATACATTGGAATAGGAAGATAAACTGCAGATAATTTAGAAAGTTTCAGATTATTTGTTTCTCAAACTATTGATTAGAAACCATTGTTCCAACCTTGCCTTGGAAGAGTAGAGACAAAGTTCACTTATTGAACTATATTTTATATTCTACATTCTCGCCTTCCTTTTGGCTCTTAAAAATTGAGCTCAGTTTTCTGGTGTCTTTCTGTCAAGTTCATAAGAAATATATGTAAAATGTTAGTTCTAACCATTAAAAAAGATTTTTAATTAGGGAGTGTAGGAGTTAGAATATGGACTGCAGTGGCAAATAGCCCAACAGTCAACTTTCATCACATTACTCAATATCTATCACTCAGATTCAATTTCCTCAACAGCAAAGTTGAAAAACCTTCTATGTTACTTGTGAGTTTAAATAGGATGCTGTAGGCTAATGTTTTAAACAGAGTAGCCTATTGTAAGTGTAGAGTTAATAGTAGCTATATATAATAATGATAATAATATAATGTAATTTCATAGCTCCCTGGTATGATATTTGAAATCCCAATTCATTTACAATTCAGACTTGCATTATTATTTCTATATGTACCCTCACGATTTAAGAAAATCATATGATTAACATGCTCAACATTAATATGTTGCTAAAATTGTCTTACTATACTCTGCCTAGTATGGCCGAGCAATTATTAGGGCAAGGTATAAATAGGTTTGTTCTTCAGATCTTTTCCATGAATTTGTTCATTCATTCAACCTTTATTTCTTGAAGGCCTACAAATGTGCTATAAGAGTACAAAAATCAATAAATGACATAACATAACTTCCGGAAGTTCATGGTAGAAACAAAGATGCATACTCAGATCACTGAGTAATAATGGAAAAATATACAAAGAAGGTAGCCTGAAATGAGCCAGAATGAGCAAGGGAAGATATCAAAAAGACATGTGACCTGAGCCATAAAGGATATTGTAGTAACCAGAAAAAATAAGAAAGGGGATGGGATAAAGGAGAATACCCCAAATAGAAAGGGAGAACATTTGTAAAGATGTGAAAAATAAGAGCCCATAGCTAATTCTAGTAAGTTTATGTACAAGTAGAGCAAGGACATGTGTGTTCAAGGGGGATGGAGGCTAGAAATGAATCTAAGTAAGCCAGGGTAAGATTAGGCACATTCTACATGTCCTCCCAAGATGGTTAACAATTTATCTTAAGGATGTGAAATCCATTAAAGATTTTAAGCAGGAGGGTGTCATGATAAGATTTTCTGTTTTAGAAGGATCAGTCTGGTGTGACAGTGTGAAAGATGGATTGGGTCCTATGATAGAAGTGGGAGTTGCTGGAAAAGAAGGCAGAAGTCAGCAGAATTAGTTAGGACACTTAAAAGTAATCCAGGAGAGAAATGATAAGGACCAATGCAAAGGCAGTGGTAGTGGAAAGGGAGAGGGAGAGAAGGAAGCAGATTAGAGGTTTCTATATGAGGGCATGGAAATGACCTGGTGACAGATGGTGTAAGAACGAAATCTCAGAGACAACTCCCAGGTTTCTGTCTTGCGTGCCTGGATGAGTGATGGTGTCTCTTGCCAAGGAAGGGCAGGTGGGTAGCTTTAGGGGAACTGCTATACTTTTGATTTGGCTGTTTTCAAGATACCTTTGAGTTTCCCATTAAAGGGGACATGAGAACAGAAAAGAAAGAAATCTGACATTTAATTCAAAGGAAGGAATCACAGAGGAGACAAACGTCTTAGGCAGAAATAAAGAGGAAGTATAGAAAAAAGTGCTGAAGAGAGTTTTGAGGAAGGTATGGTCACTGGTCTCAAATACTGAAGAGAATTTAAGTAAAATTGATAGTAAAGCCTGGCTGGTGCATTTAGTAACAAAAAAGGTTTAACTGAGAGCTTAATGAGCAGTAAATATGTAAGACACATTACTGATTGTGTGTGTTACTTATGTTAAGATCTATTTATAAGGGGTTTTCCCCTCTACTTAAAACCTGGAATGGTCCACTAGAGTTGACCATGAGTTCATTGACTGTATAGAGTCTGTGTGGAATTCCCCTCTTTCCCCTTCCACTACCACCACTGCAGACACTCAAATAAGTATACATGGTGAATGGTGCATCAATTTCAGGACTAATTTCCAAAAATATGAACTTATTTGCTTTTTTGTTTTTTCAGAATCCTACACTTTCATTTGTGATGTGGCATCTCTCAGCCTGCTTAGTGCTTTCTTTATACTGATACTAAATAACTTAGTTGCTCTCAGAGATCAATACTTCATTATCAAATGAAATAATTTAAAAATGGAATGAAGTTTTATTAATCTCTTCAGTTGTCTCTCATGTAAGGAACTGTGACAGAGAAAGTCCATCAGTTTTGTCTATAGCATCTGTGCTTGATATAAACTACCAATTCCTACTATTGAGAATTTGACATCTTAATTCCTCAGTCTAGCAGCTGTTTCTTTAACTTCTTAAATTACTGCCAAGCTTACTCTAGCTTTATAGAACACTGTGCAATACAGTATCAGCATCTTCAAACCACAGTCCTACCACGGAAAGAAGTAATTGACTTATTTTACTCTTCATTTACATTTCTGCACAAGTGTTTACAATGGTCAGGACACCCGGGGAAACAGATTTAGTGTTATTATGTGGTGTTCAAGAAGAGGAAGTTCATAAGACTCATCTGAAAGATGCTTATAATTCATTTGTTTTGCCTGATTTACAGCAACAATTGTACATTGGTTCCCGGGATGGATTGGTTCAGCTCTCCTTGCACAGATGTGACACTTATGGGAAAGCCTGTGCAGACTGCTGTCTTGCCAGAGACCCCTACTGTGCCTGGGATGGAAATGCATGCTCTCGATATGCACCCACTTCAAAGAGGTAAGTTATTAGGAAGCTTCCCTTTCTATAAGATTAATATCTCACATAAATGCCTTGTCTTATAGTTTAAAGAGAACAATGGAGAAAACTTAGATTCTGGAAGGAATATTAAAATTATAATATAGTTTCATTGTTTTACATAATACTGAACTATGAAGGAGGATACAACAGATGTTCTGGAATTCTAAAATGTGAAACTATTAAAAAAATCCAACACATTGTTTATATTCTTTTATTTATGTCAAACACCACTAAAAGTTCTTTTATTCACTATTTTCCTTTTTCTGTCTCTCCCATGTTATTTCTAAATTTGCACACACTCATACCTATTGTTTTGCAAATAATTTGCACATATTATTATAGCTCACAGTGCATCTAATAACTTGGTAAAATTTTATTTTTATTCTAATAACTCTAATTTGGTCAATTTCTTTCATCATATGTACTTGAACTGCAAATTGCTTCCCTGCTGTGTGTAGTTCATTGTTTTATGTATTCTTAGAAATAATGCTACTTTGAGCCAAGTATTCCCAAATAAGAATTTGTACTATTCACTCATGTGCAGAAAGACCACAAAGTTACAAGATATTCATTTCAGCACTGTTGACTTGCAAAATAACTGGGAAAACCCTGAATGCCTATTAATATGCCTGACACTATCTAAATATACTATGATAATTAGTTTTAGATGCAGACTAAATAACATTATTTGCTAAAGTATTGTTAAAAGTGCATTTCATCTATGTAAAACATCAACACATTGTGGTATTATTTTGTTGCTATTTTTTAGGATTTTTTTTTTTCATGCACACACATGAATCTTACTACCACTTTTTTGCTTTTTGAAATTTGCTTGATTGGTCAAATTCTAAACTCTAGGCAACACAGGTTGAATGTATATTACAATGGCAAATATTGCTTAAAGTTAAGACACATTTTATATTCTCTTCAATTCCTGAAATAAATGTCAGTGGATAGACATGATTATTAAAAGTTAAAAGTGAGTAGTCACCAACATTTTGCTATAGTTTTTGGCAAAGGTTGTACTCATCACAGTGAGTCTTTGGGGAATTCTTTTCTGGAAGCTAAAAAACCAGAATGCTCATTAGCTGGCAGTAAAACTTCAGTTTGATTAATTGACCCTGTTCCTTAAGAAGCCAAGATTTAAAAACATTCTTGACCTTATGTACCTTATACTACCATATTTTTTTTTCTTTTTATATTTCCCAAGACTGTGTCTCTGATCTTAAAGACATGCCACTGTGATGTTTTCCCTTACCTAGTATAATGCCTGTGAGAGTCTAAAAATGTATATGAGGGATGAATCTTACAAGGTTGTCATTGACCAGTACTGCCCTTGAGGAACACCTTAGTTATCCAAGAAAGTTTGTTGTTACTTCTCTACAACAAAGACAGTGGGGAGTGGACCAGAGGGAGGAACAGAGAGAGGTTGATCAATGAGTACTAAGTTACACTCAGACAGGAGCAAGAAGTCCCTGTGGGCTACTGCACAGTAGGATGAATATAGATAATAATAATGGACTTTACATTTCAAAATTCTAAAGGAAAGTATTTTGAATATTTTACCATAAAGAAGTGATAAATATTGCAGGAGATAGATACATTTAAACTGATCTAAATATTATACAACATATATATATATATATATATATATATATATATATATATATATATATATATATATATTTATATATATGTGTCCTGTGGCACTCCATTAATTTCTATAATCTTCATGTTTTGTTTCAGTTATATTAAAGTTTATTCAAAGGAAAAACAAATACCCAAAGCAAATTAAAATATATTGTAAGAGTTTAAGGCATACTTTAGATATAGAATTTTTTTTATTTTTATATATGATTAATACTATTTTGTCTTAAGGAAAATATGTGACCTAATGCAAAAGCCATTGTGTCTATACTATTACTAACACTAGAAAAAACATATGATCTACATATTCCTACATAGAAATAACACATAACAATCCATGCCTCATCAAACATGTACCTGTTTCAGACACCATCTTTCTATATAGTGAATCTATCCATGATAAAGTGCTTTGTATTTGTGTATACACTTCTACATACTAATTAAAACTCTTATATATTACTTTTCCCAGAACTGTCAGAAAAGAGAGTAAGAATAGTTACCACATATCATAAACATGGATTCTATTTATGTTCAACCCATTCTGTCCAATCATTTTTCAAGTAAGAGAAAAAGAATAGTAGTTAAATAAAATTCAGAGCATCCTAATGCAAAACACTATCTATTCTATTAGGCATTTACTCTACTAGTAGTACCAAAATCAATGTTAGGTTGACTGGAATATTGAACTGCATTTAAATTGAGCAGTAAAATAAGTATAGTTCTGCATCCGCTGCTATTAGTGTTAAGTGTAGCCTTTCTATATTCTGATTATAAAGCTTGGAGTTCTCATCACTCCAATCCTCTTTTCATAGGCGAGCTAGACGTCAGGATGTAAAGTATGGGGACCCAATCACCCAGTGCTGGGACATAGAAGAAAGTAAGTATTGGTTTAATATGCTTTTTCTCCCAATTTAAAATGATAAGTCCAGGCTTTGTATATCTTTTTAATTACATGACTCCAAACAACTATTATATTAAGATCTCATTTTGTGTAGTGCTTATATTCTGGAAAAACAACAGGAGATTTTATAAATCAACCCCTGTCTACAAGCCTAAGTGAATAATCTTTTGTTATATCATGATTTGTTTCATATGTCTTTTAAAATTCCTATACTTTAGCTTTTGTTTCTTTTCTTACTCTCTTATCCGTCCTTGTAAAGTTTGAAAACTGCTTTTTAGAGATAAAGCAGGATATAGCCCAAAACATTTGGACATATAGAGTAAACTCAAAAGAGACCTCTCAGGAAAGTGTGTCAAAGTATAGGCACTTATTAGAAAGACGTTTTAGGTAGCCTATACTTTATTTGTACTCAGCTATTAATAAATATATTCATGATTGATCTGAATATACTAGGAGACAAGGAATGCCTTAAAGGGCTTAGGATTCCTTGGGGAAATAAGATGATCAAAGCTCAATGGGAATTTAGCAAAAAAAAAAAAAAGATATCACCAGAGGCTGAATGGTTCAGAAACACAAAAATCATAGAATGGAAGATCTTGAAAGAATGAGTGGGAAAGAAGCAGGATGGGGAATAGAGAGGAAATCTGGTGAGTGAGTCTAAAAACAGAGGGACCTCTAAAAGTAGAAAACCCATAGTTTTACTCTACCTTCAGGTAGGACACAGAAGCATGCACACCCACAAATGCACACATGCAACCAGTGGAAAAAAACAGCAATTTCCTTTATCACATTGTTACTAATCATCCCACTAGTGATGAAATAACCCCATTTTCATATTTTATAACTGGGAACCCAGCGATGTTTTCTTGTTTTAAAAGCAAGGCAGTCATTTTTAACTCAGAATTCTGAAAAATAAGTTCAGGACTAGCACAGTGTGTTTGCCTTCTCATTCTAACAATGTAAGAGACTCACTGTCATGTCCAGTGTTGTGTTTAGTAATCACTACTGTGTGACTTCCATATGCACATCAGGGACTGTGGTAGGTGTGGAGGACATACAAATGAGCAAGAAGGAAGCAATCTACGTATTCATAGAATTTATATTCAGGTGCATTAGGGAAGAAAGCAAACAATAAATATAAACAGACAATAAAAATAAAAACAGGTGAAAATGCTGTGTTATTTGATGATAAATGTTATAAATAAAACATAAAGCACACAGTTTTCCCCTAAGGCTCAAAGTTATTGTCTCTACCTTGCCATATTGCATTCTTGCTGTAACCCATGCTGTCCAGTTTTTTGCATTTATTATCGTCACTTTGCTCAATCCATTCTTGTTAAAGTCACCAGCAATTTCCTTCTTGCCAAATTCAATGGCAAATTTTTACTTCTCATATTTATTTAATCTCTAACTCCCTCTTCCTTGAAACACTTTTTCCTCTTAACTTCCTTGCAGTGGTATGCTGTAGCCTTATGAAACCTGTTGCTTATTACTTTGTTATTTTGTGAGCTGGTTTTAAACCACTGGTAGCTGTAGTCAGCTACAGTGGGGGTATTTACAAGAGAAAAATCAGAAAATACTATCAAGCCTTTCTCTTTTCAGAGAGGAGGTATACTTGCCCACTTATGCTTTTATGGCACTACATCCTTCTGGTTTACCTGTTACCTTGCAGACTGTACCTTCTGTGTACTCTCAACCTTTCTTTTCATTTGCAACAAGTTTTCCAGTGACCCAAACCACTTTTTCAATCTCCATCTGTTCTTTCCCCCAATATCATCACTTCAGTACTATCAGAAGCTATTTGACTCCTAAAATCATAGTCCAGTTTAAGCTCATCCCTGTCTGCCAGTCTGGAATGCTTACATGCCTACTCAATAAATCCTTCTGAATGCATAGTTAACATCTCCAACATATGTCTAAGAATTCTTGCTATCTTCTCCAAAGCTGTATTTCTGTACTTTCCTTTATTAATAAATAGCACTTCCATTCCCCCAGCTGCTTAGGTCAAAAAGCAGCTCAGAATCACATCTTTATTCTTTTCTTTTTTTCATATCCTACCACCAACTTCTCAATAAGTCCTCTTCCTCATCTTCACTGATACCTGGATTCCTGTTCTGTAGCCCCTTTTCTGGTCTCCTGCTTCTATTCTTGCTCTGCTGCAGTCTATATCTTACTCAGTAACCAGAGTAGTCTTTTCAAAACTTCAGTCAGATCACATCATTACCTTACTAACAATGTTTCATTAGCTTCTTAGAACAAGTAGTACAAATCCACAGTCTTTACCATGGCACGTGAGAAACTGTTTCACCTGGTCCCAACACCTTCTTGACCCTCTCTCATATACTGTTGCATGGTCCCCTCACTGGCTTTCTCTTTTTCTAGAGCACCAATCTGTTTCCTGCCTCAGAGCTGTTTGTATTTGTTGTCCCCTGTATTTCCCCTCAGAAGTTCACATAGCTCCACTTTCATATCATGCAATTTTATGCCTCAATGTTAATCCCTCAGAGACCTTTCCTGATCTTGCCATCAGAAATACTTTTCTTCTTTCTACTTACTATTGCCTAATCTACTTTTTCTTTTTCTTTTCTTTCTTTTTCTTTTTTTCTTGTAGCAGATAATACCACATACTATATACTTTCTTCATTTACTTGGTTATTTTGTCTGTGTCACTAGAATATATGTTTCTTAAAGTCAGTGATTTCGCCTGCCATATTTACCCAGGCACTTAAAATAATCCTAGTATGTTGGACACCTAAGACTGTTTGTATAATGGATGGGTAAAGGAAAGCCTACATAGATGGGTAGCATTTGAAGTATGCTTTAAAGACAAAACTAAATTTTACAAAGTAATAGTAATTAAAACCAGATAAAGCCTGGAATGGTGGTACCTGCCTATGATCCCAGGATACTGGAGCCTAAGGCAGGAGGATCATAAGTTCAAGGCCAGTCTTGGCATTTTACTGAAACCCTGTCTCAAAATTAAAAATAAAATAAAATTTAAAAAGGGTCTGGGCATGTAGCTCAATGTTAAAGCACAAGTGGATTCAATCCCAGTACTAGAAACATAACAAAACAAAAACAGAAAGACCTCATATAGGTTGGGTTACATTTGTGGCAGTCTCATGTTATTCCATGAAATTTATGTTTACTTTCCAAGTGATGAGCTATTTCATATTTCTCAGAAAAGTTTTTAAATTAAATTAATTATCTCCTTATGGATAATTGATTAGACTCGGAGGAGCTAGAGGCTGAGAGTCAATTTTGGGAGTTAAATAATTTCTCTGAAAATACCTACAACTAAAGGAGTTATATAGTCTTAATGTAGAGAAAAGGGCAAATTTAGACACTAACTTGTAGAAAAGAAGAAAGGAGATGATTTGAGTCTAAACCACCATAAATGCTTGTAGTACTTACTAGGTAATCATCTCTCCAATAATTGACAAATAGATGTATTCTTTGTTCCTTCTTTCTTTTCTTTTTTTAAATTAACTAATTGCTAAATGTTATGATATAGTGTGATTACTAATGATATAAAATCAATACATGTAGATTAGCTATGTTTGACAATGGAAACCAGACCGAATCTTGTACCTCAATGCCATATATTTCATATAAAGAAATATTCCAGCCACTTACTGTGAAAAACAATTTTTGACATCAATGTGGAAATTGAAATGCCCCATTCCAAATTATATTACACTTAATAAGGAAGATAGAACATTTTAAAATACTATTCTATATGACTTTTACATGTTTAAAGGTTAGATCATAATAGTATTTTCATATATATATATATATATATAATACATACACACACACATATATATGCATTTAAATATACATATACTATTTGAAACTTAAAAACAGGAACTTTAAAAATGAAAAATGAGACAAGCATTATAGGAAGCAGCAATAATTTTTTTTAATTTTTTTTTATTATTAGTTGTTCAAAACATTACAAAGCTCTTGACATATCATATTTCATATATTTGAGTCAAGCAGATTATGAACTCCCATTTTTACCCCGTATACATATTGCAGATTCACATTGGTTACACATCCACTTTTTACATACTGCCATACTAGTGTCTGTTGTATTCTGCTGCCCTTCCTATCCTCTACTATCCCCCTCCCCTCCCATCTTCTCCCTCTACCCCATCTACTGTAATTCATTTCTCTCTCTTGTTGAAACAAATGCCAAATGTCATCTTTGATATAAGGAGAGCAACTAAGAACAGAATAGGGAGGAAGAACATGAGAAGAAGATCACCATTAAACAGGGACGAGAGGGGAGGGAGGGAAAGAGAGAGAGAAGGGAAATTGCATGGTAAAGAAAGGAGACCCTCATTGTTATACAAATGAAAAGATAAGAGAAAGTGAGGGGAAAGGGGGGGAAAAAAGCAATAAATTTATTTTCAGTCAAACAAATGTTTTGGTGACTATGTTATAGGTATGTTTTTTTCTGATTTGAAAAAAAAAGATTTCAGACTATTTGTATACTATTAAAGTTTTTCAGTATATTTTACTAATTTTTCCTTTACTGAATTGACCAATTCTTTGCTTGAGTCAATCTGAGTTTCTTCTGATTGCTTGCCTCATAACCTGACAGTCAACATGCGGTACTCTCTGCTTTGTTGACAAATTCCCTTTCTCAGGATCTGTTATTTTGAAGTGGTCCACGTCTTTCTCTCCCATCATTGACACTTGTGATCTTCTGTGCATTAGGATTTTATTAACTGTGAAAATTGCAGATATAATCTGCTGAAATGCTGGAGATAGTTGATGAGTTAGAAATTTTAAATAGAATCCAAGCATTGTGAAGGTTAGATAAGGTTAATTCAAAAGTTGTTAATGTGCTTGACTTAATCATTGTACGTAAAATACAAATATATTCAAAAGAAGTTTCTTAAAAACAAGTCATGGGATGGATGTGCATGCATGCCATTGCTGAGAATTTTGTGTGCTTTTCTTTAGGATTACCATTAGTCCCTCAAACCATAGTCCTTGGTTAATGTCTAACTTGCTAAAGTAGGACCATTTGTAGAATGGAGATATTTAAATGTGTGATGAAAAAAATGTCTGTTTGGGCCAAGCGGAGCAGCCATCATTTTTTATTTGACTTAAGCCACAGATCTTCAATTTCACAAGGGACACAGTCTTTGGCTATTCTGGATGAAATGTATTTCAGATGGTGCAGTTGATTTACAAAAATAAGTTGTCTGAGATGCTGCTTCTTAGCATCCCATTAACTATCTCATAGCAAATGCATGTCAGGCTAAAGAATCTCTGAAAAAAAATATTGTAGAAAATGCAAATAAGGCCCAGATTGTGAGTCTTAGATTATGTGGAGTATTCTCATCACAGAATTTCATCAAATATCACTGTACTAATTTTTCTGACATCAAAATTTCTAAATGTTATCTGGTCATCTCTGTGGACCCATTCAATTAGAATTTCTCTTAAAAGTACAGTAAATAGCAGAAGTAACCACACAATTATTTATATTTTATATAAAAATGTTAGAACATTAAAATGTGCTAAAGATCATACTTAGAAAAAAAATACATTTAGAATTAAATCTTGTGAATTGTTTTTAAAAAACCAACCAAAACTGCAAATTGTTAATATAGTGATGAAATAGTAAAAATTGCAATACAAATTTTTTTTAAAAAATCAATCTATTGGATAATATTTGACTTGAAGGCAATAATATTCTAGGATGAATTTCCTTTCTGTTTAGTAATGTGCATGATTCTTTCCTGATGGCATCTGTTCTGAATCATTTTATTTTCCCATTGCTTTTACAATCAGGTCAAGGTTAATCCTTTATTCCATGTTTGCTTTCTAGGCATTAGTCATGAAACTGCTGATGAAAAAGTGATTTTTGGCATTGAATTTAATTCAACCTTTCTGGAATGTATACCTAAATCCCAACAAGCATCTATTAAGTGGTATATCCAGCGGACAGGAGATGAACAACGAGAGGAGGTGAGTTATCATCATCAGAGAAGCTAACCTTCAGGGAAATAGTATAAAGTTTAAATTGAGTTTTGGCTATGAGATATAGTCAACTTTTAGTACCATATGATACTCTAATCGCTATTTGATAAAGGGGAAAATAACAGTTTGTGCTAACACCAAAGGGTGACAATAGCTTTGAGAATCAGTCAATTTAATGCATTATTAAATTGGACAATTTAATACAAATACACTAGTCAAATATATTTAAAAGTAGAGTGAAGTTTTAAAATTAATTTTTATTAATTTTAAAAATTGTTATTTCATAAAGATTTGACTACTCCATGAATAAGGCAATCTTTTTTCTCTCTGTAGTAGCATATTAAATTTTAACTCACATTGTATTCAATTTTGATTACAAAATGAATTTTATGTCAAATTTGTATGAAAATACAAATATCTATTTTTATCATATGATAAAATTTATTGGATAAGTATTTGGACATATACTTTTTCACTTTTATGTATTAAAATTAAATCAACAGAGGGAAATGTAATATGGCTACTCTAATTTTTGCCATTCTTTCTGCTAATTTTCCTAACATATAAATGTGATTGAAATATTTCATGGGGATTTTGTAACATAGATAGGTTTTGTGTATTATGGAACTTAATGTTATTACTTTGGGTAACTTAGGAAATCATGAACTGATGTTATTTGATTGACATGTAACAATGGTTAATTGGCAGAATTCTTTGTCATTATTGATTATTACTACAGTGGCAGAAAGAAAGCAGTGATGCTCAGACCAGAATTCTAAAACTCTCAATATTAAACTGAGGCTGCTGTAATGAATAATATATTGAATGCAGGATTCTGGATAGATGTCTTGATTTGCAACATGGACCTGATGTGTTGATATAATTGAGCCTCTGAGGCCAGAATTTTCCTAATGGAACAAAATAACTTTAAAAATTACTGTGAAAAGCAAACAAGATAACACAACAAAGTAGAATTTCAAAGCAGAGTTCTTATAAGTATATAATAATATCACATATACTATCTATCAATAACAATAGGTGGGATAAGAAATAATACTGATCACATGCTTAGATAATTATGACCCTCCCATTGGTTTGACTGCCTAGGATTTCTGAGCAGGCTGTCACTTTCTCAACCTCTTTGTTAAATTTACTAACATTAAGAATAGTAAATTTAAGTAATCAAACATTAGTAGAGGACAGTAGATCTCAATCTCAGGCAATTTTGCTCTGAGAAGACTGATGTTTGGCAGTTTCCTGGGACATTTTTGGTCATTGAAACTAAGTGGGTGGGTGGTAAGTGGGTGTTTCTGGTATGTAGTCTGTAGAGGTCAGAGGTAATACACAGAATTTCAATGCACAATTACCTGCAAGAAAGAATTATCCGACATCAAATGTCAATACTGCTGAGATTGAAAAACTTTGGAGTAGCAGGGTCAAATTTTGTAATAAGAAATTGATTTAATGATATAATTCTTCCGTTACATGAAAAAAAGTATCTTTACCTAAAATCTACAAGGATAATTTTTTATCAAAATGTTGATTCTATGTACTTAATACCATACCAAGGGAATAACTCCATTCTTTATTATGTCACAGTTATCCAATAAAACTCGATTGTTCATCATTACTGACATTCATAAATTATAAGATTATGCAGAACCATATTTACACTAAACATGTATCTTAAAAATTCTCATTTTTACCAATATATATTGGAACATTATCTGATATAGAATTTAATTATTTAATTTCAAAATAGAAGGTTTTTACTTTTTATCCAAGAAATATTGGAAGAATGTTATCTGTATTTTTAACATGCAGATTGCTTGTAGTTACATTGAAATATCTTAATCTTAAGTTTAATAAGCTAGTAATTTTAATTTTATAGTTCATAAATTTGATGATTTCCTTTTGGTTAAGAATAACTATTCAATCAGTGATTTTTTTCCCTCCATAGCAAATGTAATCTGTTGTGTATAAATGCAGATAACTACATTTGTCTGTGGTTGTTTGCATTCACGTCTTTCATTTTCCTGAAAATGCTATGCATTACTTTAATGTACCTTTTAACAGTATATCATATAGTCATGATGGTACCATGCTCCATGAATTTCAATGGAGCAGAAATAGAGTATTTATTGAATCTTACTTAAAAGTATCTTAGCTGTAATGTTTGGACTGTTTTTGTCTGTCTTTTAAATGGCCAGTTTCACATAGTCCAGGATATGCAATTCTGCTTCCTGAGCTAGGAAAAGGACAACATCCAGACTGCATGAAGCACTTTTCCCAGCAGGATACCTTCTGTTCCTTACCCATAAGGTCACAGTTTGGAATCTTTCCTCCACTCAAAAAAGCCTGAGGGACAGACCATGATCTCCTGTGGCACAGAGGCTGTCACCAGGTTATTCTCTGCCAGGAGGAGAACATTTCCTTACTGAGTTGTGTCACAGTTGGGTGCTGTTGGGGAGGTCATGAGTCAGTTATCTGCTGACTTTCTTATAAAGCTGTTCTTGAAATTGATGATGTTTATGCTATAACTATGCAAGTTAATAGGCAGTCCCCAAGCTTCTGTTGAACTTTTGGGATGTTAATGAATAAAGAGGCAATACTTCATGCCATTTACCAAACTGCATTTTCTCTATGGATTTTCCCATTTTTCAAACATCTTCAAATATTTTCATTTCTCTGTTCCCAAGTCTTTATTTTATTTTTGTTCTTTTTATCATAAAAGCAATGTAAATGGCTTCAAAATTGCATAACACATGAAGAACTAGGATGCCACTAAGTGTAGATAAGCAGAGTAATATTTTAGTGTCTGTTTCACTACAGTGTTCATCATTGTGCTGGAAGCATTTTCCATTATCACTCTGACCCATAGTCATAAGTAACCAAACTTTTAAAAAATACTTCATGTTTTCTCTAAGAAAAAAAAAATGAGCTTCCCTTCTGTTCAAATTTTTTCTTGTACTTTTCTATTTCTTAGGGCACATTCTTAGGAGGAAAAGAAATCAGTTAAAGACATTGATTATCTTTATGTTTTTTGATAACCACATTTTGATAATTTCCCATTGAAATCACCATATTAGTGCATACTCTGAACTGAAGCAACATTGTGTTCCAATTTAAGAAAATTTTTACCAGTTTGATATAAAGAAACATATTATGTACTATCTATTAGTGTATATGAACATACCATTGTTTCTTAGCTGTTGGTTTGAGTGTCATTTGGTGAATTGCTTTGCCTATCATTTGCTTAGTTTTTATTGATAGATAATTTCAAAATGCTTTCATCAAGTCTTTTATATATTATAGATATTAATAACAATGATGTACATATTATAAATAATTTTATTTTGATATAATCTTTATGTTTTATGTCCCTAACAATTCCTGACTTTTCTATAAAATTTTTTATCTGTTATAGGCAAATCTAATAATTTAGTAGCTGTATAATGTCTCAGTCATTACTCTTTGAGACCCTTGTCACATGACAAGCATATATATATTTTTTTCCTAGTTATTTACGATTTTATTTCTATATCTATACTTCATATTTTATTATATTAAATTATAATTAATTATTCATTTAGTATAAGCATACTCTGAGACTTAAAATATGTATGCATATTATTCCATTTTAGTTCCTTTTCCTTTTCCCATATGAAATTAGAAACCTTTCATTGCTTTATTTCAAATAGAGATAAATTTTTGCAACATTTTAATAAACATTTGTTTCTTCACACCAGGATCCTTCTACTTTATTTAATCCTAACATGTCTCTAGTAATATTTTCTGCATTTTAGAGAAAGGAAGTATTCTTGAGGCTCTAGTCTCCTCCAAGACATGTGCAATGGTTTAAGTATGAAAAAACTGACAGGTGAATTATCTGTAAAGGAATTATCATTAGGCACTATTATCAGAGATAAAGGCCCTGACCTTTGTCTGCTGCTTAGTACCTAAATGTCCTTTGTCCTTTTCCTGTTTCTCTTCTTTCATTAAATGAATTGCCCTTCACTGAAGATCTACATTTAATAATGCCAAATATATAATCCTTGTTCTCATAAGGCAAATGGGTAGTCAATCCCAGTTCAAGCATGGTTTTGATTTGTAAGGTAGAACAGTTTCTGCATATCACTTCTAGAGTGAAGAGAATTCCATGAGCTTAAATCAGTGACCAAAGATTACATTATCTCTGTAGAGGAGCTGCATTTCTAAACCGACTGTGCTGACATTTCACTGTGGAGATGCAGGCTGCATAATGCATCCTATTCCAGCACAGAATGAAAGCTTCACAGAAAGCAAGAATGTAAAGTAGGCAAATGTTAATCAATTTCCTAACTCTGGTCACAGTTTTTTGCCTCTAAAAAGTGAAAATCCTGGAAAAGATATCACTTCAAAATGTTTTATTAAAAATGCCATTTCAATAAAGCCATATTTTTGAAATTTTTAGAAAGGAAACAAAAATTGATTAAATGATCTAATAGGCAGCAGGTAAATATATAAAATTCAAAATCTGCTAAGGCAAGTTTTCCATCTACAGATCAAAAAACAAAGAACAACTTAAGCATTCCATGGATGAAAGAAAATGTGAAGGATCATGACCAAGTAAAGAAAAGCCAGGTGTTTATGAAATTTTGAGTCCTGTGGGGAACAAAGTTAGAGTGGAAAGGAGGAAAGGGAACTAGATCTTATGATAAAACAACATAAACAGGATACAAAAAGAGAATAGCAGAAGTAATGATGAAGTGTTGCACAATATGTGTGAAGTCAAAATCATAATTTCTTCCTGTCAGAGGATTAAAGAGAACAATAAATGAGTACTGAGTCAAAGCTGTGACAATCTCCAAAAGCCACATTAAATGCAGTTTAAATATTAGCGAGAATACAGATTGTACAAAGGTAATCTAACAATGAACTGGAACTGAAGTCACCCACTTTGTCATGTTAATAGCCTTAGTCCGTTTTCTATTAAGGGAATTACAGAAATAAAAGCTTCAGAATATTATCTCTCAAACAACATGGCAGTAGTCTATAATGTTGCTAATAATACTTCACACTTTAACCTTCAAAGAGCTTTGCTTTTAATCCCCTAAATACACCATATGCTACACACCAATTTGATAGATGGGAGACCAATAGGGAAGATAAGTGAATCATCATAGGAAGCAGAGCCAGTGGAGACCAGAATTCAATGTATAGAGCCAGTATTTTGAGATTTAAGGTTTATATAAATTTTTAAAAATAATTATTACAATGAAATTACTTAAATAGAACAAGTGTATGTAGTGTGTTCAATTGCATTTCTCTTTGTTATTGGCCCTTTAGAGCCTTACAAATACAAATTCACATCTATTTTAGGCAGGGATTCCTATGGTGTAGGAAAATGTAAATGGATTCAGTAGTTTGTATTACTGTAGCATTTAAAAATGTCTGGGCCTTCACAATAAATCCATTAGGAAAAGAAAACTATATATCCAACACACTAATTGCACAAAATAAGGGAAACAAACAGACAAAACCTTGATGGTGTGGTTTCAGTGCAGAGTAAAGACAGGCCGGAGACAATTCAGCCTCATTAACCAGGGATCTGAGCTGTGACCTGCCTTTGGCCTCAAATGGTACCCCGCCAGCTGCACTCCACTGGCACAGAGGGTGGTTTGCCATATACTTGTTAGTTAACTGGGCTAGTAGCCAGAGATGTTTCTTTTCCTTTTCTCATATTTCCAGAATTAGAGGGATTTTTCCCTACATATTTTTCACATAAAGATGCAAAGTATAGTCCACCCACTGTGAATAAATTTAATTTAACAATCTTTATGCTTCCTTGATTTTCATCAAGTAAAAGTCTACAATACAGGGGCAGATGTGTAAACTGGGAAATAGTCCAGGTTTCTTTGTTGTTCTTCTTCCACTTCATGCCTAGCCATTCAACAATACGCCAAATTGAACAGGGAACTTGTGCTGGTAAACATGCCTCTACTTTTACTGAAGATAGTTCACTATTCACACCAGTCTGTGGGCCAGGCAAGCTTCGTGTTTGAATTGTCTTTCAGCAAAACTGCCACAAAGGATGAAGGGCATCACATTTCAGGGGAGGTTCTTTTTGTTCATGGTGCTTTCTCACACTTGAAATCACATTACCATGTTAGTGAATACCGAGGTAGGGCACATATTTCTACAAATAACATAGTCTAAAGTATCACATATCTACACAGTATCAAAATTTAGTCCATAGTAAAAAGGGACATTCCACTTTGAATGTTGCTAACTTTCTAATGTTGCCTGCTCACTTACAGCTCCGACATCCAAAAGCTGCATGCAAGCCTTTATACTTGACTTTTAACAGGTCACCACTTACAGCTTTCATATGCTATTCAGGTCATTTATTTGGTGATATCCAGAAAACAGAGTAAATTTCTTTTGGAGTGTTTGTTCTCTTCTACATTATAGGTAGAAGAATGCACTAAAGTTTCTTTGTATTGTATAAAATGATTGTTAATGTCACATTCTTCCTCTGAAATTGGCATGACAATTTTTTATCTTAGTACACCAATTGCTATCTGAAATCTCTGCAAAGGTCAGTTTTACTTCAGTGCTTTTTGAACTTCTTCATTCCCATCTGTGTATTGAGAGGAAAACTCACTGGTTCCAAAGGTTCAGTTAGACTGTGTAAGATACCAACGTAAAAAATTCAGGATATGGTTTGGAGGCTACTTTGTTTGCATTTTTTTCACCCTCTTCAGCTCTGGCTGATGATGTTATGCTTGATGACAGAGACACGGGGAATATAATTTTTAGATTCATCCAAGTAAAACTATGTAGCCTGTTTTCATTTGCTCATAGCCCTCTCTGTTTTTAATTTATTACCTGCATTTTTCCAATTCTGTAGTTGAAACCCGATGAAAGGATCATCAAAACGGAATATGGGCTACTGATTCGAAGTTTGCAAAAGAAGGACTCTGGGATGTATTACTGCAAAGCGCAAGAGCACACTTTCATCCACACCATCGTGAAACTGACTCTGAATGTCATTGAGAATGAACAGATGGAAAATACCCAGAGGGCAGAGCATGAGGAGGGGCAGGTCAAGGATCTATTGGCTGAGTCACGGTTGAGATACAAAGACTACATCCAAATCCTTAGCAGCCCGAACTTCAGCCTCGACCAGTACTGCGAACAGATGTGGCACAGGGAGAAGCGGAGGCAGCGAAACAAGGGAGGCCCAAAGTGGAAGCACATGCAGGAAATGAAGAAGAAACGAAATCGGAGGCATCATCGAGAACTGGATGATTCTTAGAGCTGTGGCTACGTAGTTTTCTATTTTTTCTTAATTTAAAAAAGAATTGTTTACCTGCAAAAACACTGTCTTCTGTTTTGTACATCCTTCCTACTAACTCATAAATGCTTTCTATGGAGTTTTGACAAGACACAAGAACAAGCAATCTGTATTCAATAAGACTATATGTGGTGAATATGGAATAATATAAGGGCAAATCATTCATCTGAACCAGTTTTCCAAGAACTAAGCTTGTATCTGCAAAGTGCAAGAAGTATCCCGAAAATAGGAGTTTTACATTTGCAAATGTTTTATTTTGAATTTTTGAATCCATTATGTCTTGTAAATAATTGAGCTAAGCATGCATCAAATTCGATATTGTATTGAGGTGCTGTATTTCCTTGCATGTCCATTAAGCATGGAGTTTGCCATACAGTAGTGCTATGTTCTTATGAAAAGATAAATCATTCCACTGCTAGAACTGGTTATCTTGTGGAGGGAACTGAAAGGAAAGGCACAAATTAAAACAGCTCACATTATTAACAGGAACTTTCCCAGTGAGCCATTCACTCTTGCAGTGTGGTGTGGGAATTTGGAGAGGTGCACTATTTCTTTCAGGCCACAAGGGTTGCATTTAGTGCACTGCAACATTGATTTACTGAGGGGCATTAATACACTTCCCAGGATTCCTTATGATTTGTAAGGAGAAATAAGTTCACAGACAGAAATTGGTTCTTAGTTGTGTATTTCTAGAATATATGCTAAGCTCTACAGGGATAGGATGCTTAATACATATTTTAATAAGATATGGGGAATATTTTAATAAAATAAGGGAAACATCATGATGTATACTACACCCTACTGGGAAGACATGCAGATGGGATTTGTTAGGAGACAGAAGGAAAGATAGCCATAAATCCTGGGTTTGGGGAAAAACTCATATCCTCACAAAAAGGAAGAATAATCACAAAGTGGACAAAATGCAACAGAGCTCCTTTCACTGGGAGCATAAATAGCTGCCAATTTGTAATTTATCTGTTAAAAAAGTCTGGATTATAACAAACTTCTAGCAAAAGTCTGAGGAAAAGTCAAATTTCTAAAGGATCATGGGAAGGATGAACATATTTTATTTATAACCAATGGTATTTCTGTATGTATTTCTTCTCTTTTTTCAAAGTATTTATCATACTCTGTATATTATATTCATACACTTTCTTTATTCTCTCCTGAATATTGGATTATTGGATTATATTTGAGTGACTAGCAAAGAACAATATATAATACATTAAGAGAGAATTAAGTAAAAGACCATGGTGGGAGTAGGGATATGTATTTGCTAAATAACAAAATTTTGACAACGGAAAGGGTTAAATTAACTCTTTGACACATCTTTTTTCGCACAACCTTCTTGAATTTCTAGATGATATGTTGTAATTCAAGTAGCATTGTTTTAGTAATTTAACAATAAATAAGCCTACCACATGTAAAGAAAATAAACTCACAGCATTAACATAAACACCTTTCATATTTTGTTATCCTGTTCAAGTGTTTCTAATTTGACTTTCCCTCTGAATACGTATGGTGGTTTTCCTGTCTGTTTGGGCAGGACTCACCTTTCCTTCTTACAACACACAACCCTTAGCCTTCTTCTGTTTTGCCTTTTCACGCCCTTTATAGTGTGAAATGAAAAATTAGTCACTTCCTCACATGGAAGGCAGCTTTTCAGAAACCTAAATAACAGACGTTGCTCGTTTCTCATGCATTCTACATGTCTTGAAAGAAAAGTCTGTGAGAACTAGAGTGATGAGAGGGCCACTTGTTTCCGAGCCTGTGACTGTCTCTGTGTTCAGAACATTATCTGTGTCTTGCGTTTTTTTTTTTTTTTTTTTTTTTTTTTTTTTTTTATGTGCATTGCTTACCTATCTCAAAGTAGTCACACTGATACATGATGTTGAGTGCCCTCTTTTGATATTATATTCATGAATATTTGTAAATGTTGCTATAAGAAAAAAATTAAGGAACAGTTTTAATAGAAGTGAACCAGAATGAATTATTCTGAAAAAGTAATCCATAAAAATAGCTGTGGCAGGGTTAGACTGCTAACTGAATATCATACGTGAATGTTTGTAACTATCAATTTTCTGGATAAGAATGTCCCAGGAACTCATAGCAGGCTCAAAGTAAGTGAGAACATGCTTTATTTTTAAGATTTCAATATTTGTGCATCAGAAAATAATATGCAAATATGGAAGATTCTGGAAAAATTATCTGAAGCTCAAATGTAACTAGTTAGGATTGACTTGTAAAAATAGATTTTATTTTCATTCAAATATGAATGTCCAAGTAGTTTTTAAGTCTTTCTTAGTGATCAGATAACATTTTAGAAAGCTATTTTATGCTTTCTATCTATAATTCTGACTGCCTTGGATACAGAATTATTAATTCATGATGATTGCATAAAATATATTTGAAACATTATTAGAAAATAAAATTTTATAAACAAAACATGGGAACAAAGATTTATGTGTATTTTTAAACACAGGCTATTGAAACGACATTTAATTTTTGAACCTCTTAATCATAAATCCAAATCACTTAGAGAAACAGTGTAAATATATTAACTTTACAAACACAGTGTGTACCTCTTTACCACTCAAGATTTTACCAAATTTGGTTTGAAATAATAAAAAAGAAAATTATTGTTAATAGTTTCAAATTTTCTAAGAAATCAGCTCTCTCTGGACAGAATCTTAAAATGGCTACTTATGCTTGATTTCATATTTTTCTCCCTTACCTTCAATACACATGTCTTTGAATTCCTTCTGTGTTTTTTTTTTTTTTTTTTTGCCTGCACTTTATTCTAACTATTTATACTGCTAAGTGGAATACTGCCTGTCTGCATTCATTTACAATTTATTGGGAATTTTCAGAATTTGTTTAGAAATCATAACACTATATTCATATAACTGTATGAACATTTCAAAACTAACCAAATTCAAACTAACCAAATTACTTAAGAAAAGCAAAGAGTCATAGAAAAAAATTTACTAATTTGCAAAAGCCACAACTGTAGTAGAAGTGTAATTCACAATTTTATCATTTTGTTGTTTAAAATAATGCTCATTAACAATATTCTGGCTACAAAATGGTCTTATTTTAAAATTTTCTTTGGTTTTATTTTTGGCTCTTCTTATACATTTTTTTATTCCTGCTGACTCAACTAAAATATAAATTAAGAGTCAGGGTCTGTTTTTTCAAATTATCAAAAATGAATTTTTAAAAACAACTTGATGTCATTCAGATTTCTATCAAATAATAAAAATTAAACAAGATCATTTATTAAACATTAATTTTCTTTTGCTGAAACGAGATATATTTTATATCATTAAGACAAATGGAATCAAAGCTGAAATACCCTCTTAGAATGTCACCTTTGTCTTAAATAATAAGATTTAATTAATTCACCTTATTGGGAATAGATAGTTTAAAGAAAAAAAATAAGTGAAATGTTTTTATAAAAAGGTATATTTTTCTCAGAGTAAATGATAAAAATACTTAAGTAATTCAGCTTACATGTGAGGTTAAAAGAAATAAAAATCTATAATTTCCAGTTTCTATACATTAAAAGTGCACATGACTTATACCTCTCATTTAAGCATTTGTAGTATACAGTATTTATAAAAAGTTTGAGATAATTTTTTTTTTAAGAAAGGGCAAATATATGTCAAAGGCCATAGTTAATCATGTAATTTAATCCTGGTTTTGTGAGTGTTTAGCAATCAATTTTGAACTTATTATTTTGCTATTTTAAAAGAAATGTAGTCTTGTACTATAAAATAATTGAAAATTGTTAAGTGTATATTTTGGTTGTATTATAATAAAACAAACATTAGTGTTTTATGATCATAAACAGTGTTGGTTTGTGTGCAAATTTGTTTTTTTTTAACTGAAAATATGTCAAATAAATTTTATGCAGAGCATTGAATGAAAAAATATATCAAGGAAAATAAGTCCTGAAAAATTTAAATAGATATTTTTGCACTGTAAATATGCAATGATTTCTTTTATGAAAGAAAAGAATAAGCATCTCTCCCACTTTGATACAATTACATGGGTAAGCTTTATTGTGATTAATTAAATTTTGGTTTACTGTGATGAACATTATCACCACAGGTCACCACTTCTTTTAAGGTTTCCAATTTTTATCCAATAAGTGAAATTTTAAAATACTCATCTATTATCTGCTTTTAGGGTATATATTTTGTTTATATTTTTGCTTAACAAAAACATTTCTTGAATTACTTTCAGAGAAAATTATATGTCCAACTTGTTATACACACGAATGACACTTGATATCTACAAATAGATATATTATAATGTTCCCACAAATGTGGTACTTAAAGAGCATATAGACACACTGTACTAAGAAACATCCAGTTTTCTAATTAATCAGACAAACTTCAAACATGACTTTAGAGTAATGTAGTCTTTAAAAGTACAAATAATTTTATAAAAGTTACTTGATTTAATCTGTTTGGTCTATTATACTAAAATATCATAAACTGAGTAGCTGGTAAACAACACAAATTTATTTTTTATAGATCTGAAGTCAGAAAAGTCCTTTATAAGGGTACTGATCCCATTCATCAGGGCTTTTGTCCTCATGTCTAATTAGCTCACAGAAGGCCCCCTCTTCCTAATACCCTAAATTTGGGCATTAGAATATCAATACATGAATGGGAATGGGAAGCAAGACATTTAGATGATAGCAGCATACTTAAGTCTCAGATCAGGTTTAAACTATAATTGTAAGTAAAATATAGACAAGTTTGATAATTGAGAAAACTCGAGTTATATTTGTTTGAAAACAGAAAGAGACAAGTTAATCTCAATATAGAACAGTGGAGAATGTGACTTTTAAATTGAGATTGAAAAGCAGCTATTACTTGCTGCCTGCACTACATGGCTTTATTAATAAAGAAAATCCTTGCCCAGAAAAAGGAAGTCGCAAATAAAGTACCCCTGTCAACTGTCTCAGAAGTTCATATACTTCTACTTTGCATATACGTTGTTACCAAAAACACATTTCAGAAAATGATTTGGCAGTATTCCATGAAGTTAAAAATTCAAATATCCCAAGAAGAGCTCCCACCCCAATTTGTTATTGTTGTTATTTCGTTTTTTTTTTTTGCAGTTCTGGAGGTTGAACTCAGGAGCACTCTACAACTAAACTATGTCCCCAGCCCTTACTATTTTTTTATTTTGAGACAAGGTCTCACTAAATTGTCCAGGCCTCAAATTTATGGTCCTCCTGCCTCAACCTCTCGAGTCACTGGGATTACAGGCATAAACCACCACAGTCAGCCTTGCACAAGTTGTATGCACTGCAGAGAAACTTCTCCACGTGCACAATGGAGGACATTTTCAGAAATGTATATTGCAAGATTCATTCTAATAGAAAAGAGAGAACAACCTATATGTTCAAGAAAAGGAGAATGCATGAGTTAAAATCAAGTCACTAAATGGATAAAAAAGTTTAAATGAGAAGAAAAAGAACTGCCTTTATCAATATAGAAAAGTTTCAATAACATAACTTAAAAGAAAAAAAAATCAAAGAGTGTAGGAATGCAAACAGAGTTTTCCTAGATGTATCATGTTTAAAGAAGCAAACGATATTACTTATGGATATATACATTCATATGTAAGAAGTAAACATACAAAAACATTTCTGGAGAACTTAAGCATTGAATCCCAAATAGATTTTCCTCTAATAAACAAAGGAGAGGATGAGGACATAGGGAGCTCCAGCTGTTTCAGTAATTTTGTATTTCTTTAAAAAATATATAAGCAATAGAGAAAATACGTTAAAATTTGACAACATTGCATATTAATATACTGATCTCAACACAATTCTGTGTCCTTTAAGTCATTCATAATTAAAAAAAAAAAAAAAAAAAGCTTAAGGATCTACAGTTCAATAAAAGAACAACTTCCTCCATGGTAAATTCTAAAGAGCAAGAGGGAGAAACAAAGAGACAAAAAGAGGAAAGAATGATATAGAGAAATGTTAAATATTCAGCCATTATGTAGTAGATACAGTCTTCCTATTCTAGTTACTCTTAAAATACAGACTTTTTCTCAGCATTCTGATTATTTTAAAACTGTGTCAGTTAGGACCTTATTTGGCCTCAAGGATTCAGACCCAAGAATTTTGTCTAATCTTCAAATACCCACATACTATTATGGACAGGACTAAGGCATCTAGGATATGGAACTATGTGCTTACCATGCCAGAAGGTTTAACAGAATTGAGTTGGCCATTTTTGGATTGAACACTGCTCAGGGTTGATGTTTTCAATATAGAGTTTTGGGCTTCCATATCAAATGTATAAACTCACTCATGCTCTTTATATAGCCGGAAGGCTGAAGAGAAATATTTATATCTTGCTCAACATAATGGTTCCACAAATCATTATTTTTTTAAGGAAAGGCTCTATATCAATTTCTACTTTTATGTCACTATGAAAATTTTGTTTATGCATAGAGATAGACCAAAACTTAACCCAAGATTTTTGCCTTTCACAGATTCTCAATTCTAATGGGAAAGTATATTTAAACATGTACTTTAGGAGTAAGGATTAGCCTATAGAAAGTATTGATTTTAAGTTCATAAACTTGCATAAGGAGAATATAAAACCCAATTTACCAGTTAGGATGTTCTTATTTAGAATTAAGAAAATATTTTTAATGAGCCATATCCCTCTAAGCTTTTAATATGTTGAAACTAACTTATGTTGTGCAATTATCTCTAATTATTTAATTATGTTAGAATTATGGACCTTTTTAGTACTAAAAAAAAACAAAGAAAGTGAAACTCTGATTCTCCTGTCATGATTGTGTTATTATAGTTTGGCTTTATAGGATTTGGAAGTACTCTTCCAATTCAGTGGACACAGTTAATTGTGGCCAAAGCATGAGAATTGCCACACATTCTTCATGTGCTGACAAAAAGCCAAGGATCTGATTATTAAGAACTTTTTGATTCATACTAGATAGATTAAATCCTGCAGACAAGAGGCCGACATGTTGGTGTTTTCAAGCAGAAAAATGGCTTAATGAGATTTCATCACTTTCCCATATGAGAAATAAGAAAAATAAACAGTGGCTCATTGGTGTCAATATTATTCAACTGGGTGAACAGTATTGTCATTTAAAAATGATGGGAGGTATAAGGACACTGATTCAGGTGAAAAATAGATCAAGGTTTCAGCAATGAACTCAAGAGTGTATGCTGGAAGTTGAATTTCAGAGTGTTGGTACTCAGGTGAAACAAAAATTGGGATTAATTTTTGGTTGCTGGCTTTTGATATACAGAAACAATGTAATGGGGAATGAAATGAACATTAGCAAAAAGTTGTGGTAAATCTGGGGCCCATATTTCAGTGTATCTTGATCATTAATTTCTCTGTGCCCCAATGAGATATCTCTAAAATATCAAAGAGCTTAAAATGTATGAAGTTTCCTTATGTCTTACAAATTTCTTGAAGACTAAACCTCTATTCTTAATATCTATTGCAATCTCTAGCAACTAAAAAAGAGCTAAGCCTGCAGTGCAAAGGAACAAAAAGTTTTCCTTAACTATTATGATTCTTTATTTAAGAAACTAGTAAGAAAAAGATCCTCTGTTAAAAAAAAATCCTCCAAATGGAAGCATTTTCTAAAATTCTTATACCATGTGCTTCTTTTTAAAGCAAATTGGTAAATTGATGAAGGTCTATTTTCATTTTGAATGTTCATCTGTTTTAAAGACAAGTACAAACTGGTATTGTTGGTCCTTTCTTCCCTTTGATTCAGGTGCACTCACTGCCATAAACTCCAAGACTACAGTTTCAATTGATAGACGACAGAAGGTCCATATAATTTGTAATGGATTTTTTTTTCATACAGGGACTTTGAAGAAGTCTTTGAAGAAAGCTTTAAATATTTCAGCTTATGGCACAATCAAGTTTAGATAGATTTCTCTACAATTAGTCCTTGGTTAAAATGTTATTTTTGTTTGTTTGTTTCATTTTGCCATAATGCATCCCTCTTTGACTTACCTTAATGTGTAAAAAAGTCTTAAATGAAATCTTCTTGGAAAAAAATATTCTCCTAGACCTTTCAGTTTCAATGCTAAATGAGAGCAAAACAAAATTATAACACTATTTATTCATTCATTAATTTATTCATTCATTCATTCACTTTTCATTGGGTTTATCATCTCAAAAATAGGCATATTGTTTATATATACACATATCTGTTAACTATCAAAAAATAAAGTTAATTTCTATTGTTGACTTAGAACTCTTAAAATTCATTATTTAAGGTAAGTTATGCATTTTAAAAAGTGAAATACTAATAAATGAGAGTTTAGGTTTTAATTTGAACCCATGATATCTGTAATTTGACAGATAATAAGCCAAAATCATCTGTCGAAATCCTCTCCTAAAAAACACATTCCTAGCCATTAGCAAAACATGGATGTCTTTTCTTTCTTGAATTATGTGAAAACAAAAATAACAAAAATCACTTTATGGGCATTTAATATTCATTAAAATTATAGTCATTTATATAACATAATCTTATATATCAAATATGTAAATTAATTATCAAAATTATTAAAATGAATATATTTTCCTCTGTAGAAAATTATCTCACATTTATCTGATGTTTATATCTGGGAAACCTGAGAGGGGACTCTAAACCAAACATATTTGTACAGTTCATCATTGCTTTCTGTTTATTCTCACCAAGGAAAACTAAATCACACAGAAAAGTGGTTTGTGGTATCTCTGGCCAAGAGAGTAAATTGGATAAAGTTCTAGTTTATCCCTTTTTGTTAGCCCTAAAGAAACTTCAAAAAACAATGTC